CCGCAAGCCGAGGATCATGGAGAGATGCATATAGAGTGCGATAATAGCGATCTACCACCGCATCCTGTGTTGGCGAACCACCGAGAGAATTGCAAATTTGCTGAACCAGGACAAGGGCTTGGAGCGAGATGTTGAACGTCGAGGTGTGCGTTATCAAAAATAGTGTATCAATGTGCTTGTCAAGGCTGCAGGACTCGTGAGTGGCTGACAACTAGGTATAGCATGAACTTGCCTTGCTATCCCCGTCTCCCCCTTGACAAATGGTAATGCACGATTTACCCCGGTCAGGATGGCCGATATCAGTTTGGAGTGATTGTCCTCAACCTCCACGAAGCCCGACTCTGGTTGCGACGCTGCTTTTGGTGCCGGAGGTTTCGCCTTTCTCTCTCGAACTCTTCCCTGTTTGTCTTTTCTCAAAGGCATCTGACTCTCCCGTTCGAGGAAACTTGTACTTGGCTCGCCGCTAGCTCCGCCAACAAGTTCCTTGAACATTTCAAAATACATGTCGATCAATTGAAGCGCGAGATGGCGGTCGTTCGATGAGAGGACTATCTGGTTCAGGGTGATGACAGCATAATATGTTGCATGTGCATTTCCCAACTTCTTCTCCACCTTGCTGTGCTTTGCATCACCCGGGTTTTGAGCCGTAAAGCGGATGTGCTTCCGAATGCTGGGTGGGGCTGTCGCTGTAGCCGGACGAAGCGTCAACGCAATCACCTCCCTAACCACAACAGTTTTCATCGAGGGGTGCTGTTGAAGGAGTTGAAGGAGGTAATGTGAAGCACGGGAGCATACAGTCCTGTCACCATCGCCCTATTCTTGATATCACAGACGAAACCAAGATCAAGTAATTGTGTCACTTACAAGTTTATTCACGAGCAGCCGAAGAAGATTTTGCTCCTGCTCTGGTTTGTCACGCAGCAGTTTGAAAATTTGCCCTAGGACTTGAATGCGCACGTAATCCAATGGGTCCAACGAGAGGACCTTACGATTATGAGATGCCGCCGATGCAGACGAGACAAGATGACGAAACTGACCTCCATAATCTGCAGCAATGAATAAAAATACTTTTTCAACCAATCTTCGAAAAACCAGACGACCAAGTGCGTATTGGTGACAGCCGGGTGGGCCAAGGGCTGGTCACGGAAATATCTGCTTGTCCGTTTAGAACCCATTAGCAAGTTCTATTAGATGACGCACTTCAGTTTCCTATCAGGAGCTCCGCCACCCACCCACCAATCAACGATGCAACGAAGGGCCTTCAAACTCTCCTCTCGCCCACCTTTCCCCTTTCCTCGTTCGACCATCACCTTTAACGTTTCAAGAGCCCTCGTATTATGCAACGGACTCCCTTGCACGAGTAGCGTCAGGGCACTGAGCTTGTCGGACAGTGTGCCGGACGAGATTATCTTTGTAAAAAATCCCGCCTCCGCAGACGATGTATTTTGAACGGATCGCGCGTCCGTTGCATGAAGTGCCGCAGCGCGGGACGTGTAGTCTGCAAGTTCTTGCGCAGTAGGAACACGAACTGGAGCAGTGGGTACTATTTCAAGTGGGGCAGCGGCATCGTACCAAGATGATGCTGGGGCGACTAAGCCCCGACGGAGGTGTTCGTCGGAGGATTTCTGTGGCTTGGATTCCCTTTTGACGACACTGGGGACTGAAGAAAACCTTTGCGTCTTCTGTGGCTGCTTTCGCGTGGTTTCCGTTTGAGATTGCATTGTGGTATTTGATGTGTCGAGCTCCCGCAATAAGGCAGAGACTTCGCTCACCAAGGCTGGCTACCGGATGGACATCTTTCAAAACGGGATAATTGACCTAGACCATGCTCTACTCACATCCGTCGTAGTCGCAAGTGGAACCTCTCCGTCAAACTCTTTGGCATCGTTGATCAAGTCAAAGTCTTTAGAGGTGCCACCGAGAGCTGACAACTGGCGCCGGGAAAGTTCGTCCTGGTGCTTGTTTCCCAGCTTGACCAAAGGACCAGCCGGTACGTTCAGGCCTTCCCCTTTTCGTTTCCGAGCCATGTCGACCAGACGCGTATGGTGGTAAAAGAAATTTCAGAAAGTGGGATTACATAATGACAGTGACGTAAGCGTAATTATCAGCTAACGAGCCCTAACTCGGGGGTGGAGTTGCTCCACTAATGGGACTGCTCTTAAATCTGGATCCCTTGACGTGTCCGCTTCTATTCGAGAGCGAGCCAGTTTGCGCCCGAGGTTCCATTGATGCGGAGGGGGAGATCTCCCCAGGGGCTTGGACTCGACTCCCGTCCGTCCCAATGGCGTTTGTTTCGTCTTCGGCTTGGGTGACCTGGATGGTGGGCACCCCTCCGCGGCTCACTTCGTTTGTCGTTGGCGTGTCCTCCTTTAACGAGCCTTCGTAATCGTGTGCATGGATAGCTTCGCGTGCTAACGGTGGTGCGCTCTTTGATCGGAAGATATCAAATGCCTTATGGGGGGTTGGTCGAACGACCTCAGGTCCTAGCTCAGAATTACTCGAATCTTTTAGGGTATCTGGCGTCGCCCAATTCGAGTCTGAGATATGAGCAGTCGGCACATAGGGATCACCACGGGCACCGTGCTCGTCGAACTCATCGTAAATCTCCTCGCCAATCAGTTCTACAGGTAAAAAATCAGTCGTCGCTTTACCCGTGATGAGAGTACGAATACCTTCGAGGACATCTTCCAATGTGATGATTCCAAGTGGCATAACAGCGGGATCAAAGCTCCGCAAAAACTAGAAAGCGGAATCGTATCGATATACCACCGAGAATCGTTGACGTACCTCTTCTGCGCCTGTCTTGTCCAAAACCGCATCAGCAGGCATCATTTGCTCGAGGGCAGTCATGGATGTCATTCCTGCGGCAGCTTTGGAGAGGCGGAACCCATGTCGAGGTCCTCGGTCTCTTTCCAAACGTCCACTGGTGTCTTCAACAATGCGAATCCGGCCCTCTCGGCCCTTAGTTTCATCGTTAACCGTTTCTTCGTCTCCTATAGATTCCTTATTCGTAATTTTGGGCCCAATCACCTTAGAGTTCTCTTCTTCCCCGTCGCTACTTGAGTCACTGTCCCCCATTCCAACACGTTGGCGTAGACGATGGGTCAATCCACGCTTAACGGCTTTCTTAACACTTGCGGCCTACAGGAAGCTATCAGTAACGGACACATGATATTGCGTAGCACTGACCTTGGAAGCGCTATAACGGCTGACGATTGCGATGTGACTACGTCCTTCTTGGAACTTGTCTAGCATGCCTAAAAGAGGCTCGTTTCTGGGAACAAAAGGGACCTTATTCAATGGCAATTTGCGGATAGGGATTGCATCTACAAAAATGAGGCTGAGGAAAACATGTCGAAAGATTCCACTAACCCTTCGGATCCAATAAGACGCATTGTTTGACAAGCAATATGCCAACAATCTTCTTGACCTTCTGTGTTCCTTCTTTCTGAAGAGATTTGACACGCTCCTCTCCGAGGACAGCGCTGACGACAGACACAGGGATGTCCACTTCCTCGTATACTGGTACGCGACTATGTCCCGTGAGACAGATTTCCTTGAGTAAGTCCGAGTCGAGTTTGGAATCAATGGACAGCATGAACACGTTATCGATCGGTGTCATGGCCTTGAGCTATCTTAGTGCTACGCAAGATAAAGCAAAGCGGAGATCATTACCTGCATAACCACTTTCTCTTGCAAATCGAGCGTAGCCCCGATAATGGCGACAGTGTCGGTTTTCAAGTCGCCACCATGAGTGGATTGTGAGGAATGCATAGCTATAAGTTCTTTTAATTCTAAAAACGAAAGCAGTTTGATACTATCTCGACGAAATAAGGCAAAAAAAGACATACCAGCCCGACGATAGATTATACCGTGATGAGGTCCCAGGACGAATTCAAGAAGTTTTGCGACAGGCCAAGCGATAATTCCCTGTACCCGCACTTCGCTAAGATGCCTTTCCCCTCAAACCCTGTAAACTCACCAAAAGGTATATTAAGCACATCGTAAACCCCGCCATTTTGGCGCCAAGATATAGGCCGTGCCTAGTGAAAAGAGACTGTGGGATAATCTCAGAAAAGCTAAGGAAAGAAAATCAATCACTGGGCTATTTATGCGCAGGGAAGGGCGAAAGAAACTAGAAGCATGGGAACACCAGTGACGTCATGTAAGTGTCGAACAAGAAACCCAGCAGCTCAGACGCACGACGCGTTTGGCAAGGTTATCAATTGAAAGGAACACCTACATCACTATCAAAACCGTACTGGTCACCACGCTTTGCACGCCGCCACCAAGGATGGGGTCGGCGATGATGGGAAGCGATTCGTTGACGATCATGTTGGCGAGCAGAAGTGTAACGAGCAGAAGGTGTCCATTCTTTCGTATAGGCATAATTTTACTTGCATATTCGCGCTGCTTCCTGCTGAGGGTAAGGGGAAAGACAGGAACGGGGGAGAAAACGCGACATACGGTGTACCGCTGATGCTAAGAACGTTGAGCTGAGTTTCATCTAAACTCATGTACCCCAGAGTCAAACCGGCAAATAAACCGGAACTCAGGACAAGGACGGGGATGAGAACTGCAAAAACGATAGACTTGGTTTGGTGAGGGTCGAATTCGCTCTCTCGTTTGGAGAGATACGTCTCATTTCCTGCAGCACGAGTGAAAGACAGGGCATAACGAGTCAAAGGCGAGAGGAACAAGTAGAGCAAACGTGGCGAAGGTGAATTGGCGCGAAAGTGAGGGACAGGCACCATACGAGAAGGGGAACCAAACTGTCAGCAAAGGCAGGAGTGCGGTCAAGTCTGGACCGAAAGCATCGTCAGATTTATATGCTGTATGGCCCAGGGTCACGGGGTCCTACTCTACGTCAACAACGGCATTTATAGCTTGGTGGACCTCGTAGATCGTGCTGGCATGGCTATGCACGCCCACAAAACATATATATAGAGCATGGAATACTTGGAGAAACACGACGCTAAGGCTAAAAAGAACTGAAAAATTACGCCGAAGGGGAGTCGAACCCCTGCCGCTTGCTAACCCCGAGTGGAAGGCAAGCATGATAACCGCTTCACCATCGGCGTGAACACCAGAATTGGAGACGTCGCAGTCAGGTCATAAGAAAGATGAACTGGATTTGATTCAAAAGTTTCTTCTCATCCGTAGGATTGACCAGGTCAGAGCCCGCAAATTCGCAACGACATGATAATAATCGTGAATTGACCTTAATAAGATAATACGTGCAATACATGCTGTGTACGCTAGACTAGAGTTTAAAACGCCAAATCCCTCTTCTTCAAATCCCTCGCCATGGGCGTCGAACTTATTGCCGTCATGCGTAGCGGCCCCGGGGTCCCTCGTACGAACGCTTCCTCGTAGTAGTCGTGCCAGTTCCGGTCGTGCCAGTTCCCGTTCCAGGAAGGATGGTGACACCCGTGCCAGTGCCAGTGCCAGTCGTGCCGGTGCCGGTGCCAGTCGTGCCAGTTCCAGTTCCAGTTCCAGTTCCAGTTCCAGTCCCAATTCCAGATCCGATTCCAGCCCCAGTACCAACGGGAGCGGTGCCAAAGAGGAAGGGGTTGTAGTACGGGCTATAAGGATAGCCGTAGGGGTAACCGTATGGGCTGCCGCCATAACCACCACCGTAGCCACCATAACCACCACCGTAGCCATAGTCGTCGCCGTATCCACCATTGCGGCGGTAGACCCTCCTTTCGCCTTCTCCGTTCTCGTACTCCTCGGACCGACGTTGGAGGGCGAGGGGTGCTCCAGCTGAGGCCAAATTTGTGCCAACGCCGGCCAAGCCAGTTGTCCCGGTTCCAGTTCCAGTTCCAGTTCCAGTCCCGGTTCCGGTTCCAGTGCCGGTTCCAGTTCCAATCGGGGCACCAGCTGCAGCTCCTTGGAAGCCAAAGGGATAAGTGCAGTAGGGATTGTAGAAGCCGTAAGGATTGCAGGGACCGTAGGGACCAGCACCGTAGCCTCCACCCCCATAGCCTCCACCATAGCCTCCACCCCCGTAGCCTCCACCCCCATAACCAGGACCATGATGGTGGTGGTGGTGATGTTCTTCCTCGTCGTCGTCGTCGTAATGCTTGTGTTTGTGCTCCTTGTGCTCCTTAGGGGCCTCTTCCTCGTATTCGTCCTTTCGCTTGTTTAGGGCAAAGCCGGACTCTTCTCGTTCGTCGTCGTCGAAGCGTTCGACTTCTTGACGTCTCTCGTAGCCGTGCTTCTTGTATCCGTGGCCGGGCCTTGCGTATTCCTTCTTGTTCTTGTACTCTTCCTTGGAGCCGTAGAGAGACTTGGCCTCGTCCTTATCGAAGTGGTCGTAGTTCTTGTCGCCTTTCGTGGCATAATCGGACTTGTGTTCGACGAGTTTGCTAGCGTATTCTGGTCCGTATCCATCTCCGCGGAAGCCGTTGCGAGAGTCGGCGACGTCGAACTACGAATGATGAGGGGATGATCATAACATATAAATGCATATAGGGCGACCTACGTTATCAAAACGTTGGGCAACCGGCGTGGCTAGAGCGCCAGTTGTGAGGATCAAGAGAAGCGGGAGCAGAGCATTCATGCGAGGCATAATTGTTGCGAATAAAAGAATGACGTGTAAAAGAACGTGTGGGTAGGTTGTAAGAGATGGAGGTCAAGAGAAGGATGGGGATGAAGGAGAAAAAGACGAGCTTTTATAGCTGAGAGCATGGAAATTTGGAAGGGGTCCCAGGTCGTCGATGACGCAGGTTAAAAGGTTCGATGACGTCGATGACGAGAATAAGAGGGGTGGGGGTCGCGTTGATGATCTGCGCATGTCACGTGATCGCGGTCAGAAATGCCGAACCCCGATAGACCCCGATATGGCAACGCCTGGCCTTGACACGATGCTACCAGAAGGACTGTTTCTGCTGCTGAATGCGCTGCTGGCTGCTGGACAGTCGAGGCAGCCACTACCCTTAAATTCGGTTATCTCACTTGGTCCCCAAGATGGCGGTTCCAATCTCCCTTTGTTCGAGGTGCCCCCAGCGGCAACCTTGACGATCACCATTGCTATCTGTGCGCCTGGCTCGTCTGCTAGATTCTTCATCACAAACAACACCGCGGGGGGCGCGCCTTCGTCGTCTGGTGGGCCAAACGTAGCTGAAATTCCCATCATACAAGGAAATGGTATCTGGTCCGGCCTCTTTGGCGATGGGGGGCTCCTCGCCGCCGAAAACATTGGCCAGACGACCTTTGAAATCGCCACTTCAGACCAAGGTACACCTTACTTCTACCAGATCGCTTTGAGGGAATTAACTTGCTGTCACGTTTCTAGAGCCCCTACACGAAGTTCTTGACGCCTTTCCCTTGCTTGGAGACTCGACCTCCAGCCAGGCAATCTTGTTCTCGCATCCCATCTTACCAGGACCGACGGACTTGGTATCGACATATCCCAATTATACCCTCCCTGCTGCTAATCTTTCAGCACCTCAAGCACCCACGTTACCAGGCAATCTAAGCCTCGTCTTATTACAAACGACTTTGACGCCCCCTGGTTCATTCCCCCAAACGGCTTGCATGTTGTCTTCTCAGCAGCCGCTAGGAAATACCACAGACAATTCACTGTGGTTGAAAGGTCTCGAAGGCTGGAGAAATGAATGGCTTTCAGTTGGTCTTGAGGCGAATACCAACTACACCGCCTATGTGATCCAAAACGCCACAAAGCTGAGTGGCCCGTTATTCTTCGTAACCAAATCCCGTAAGTATTTGTACAACATAGCTTCTTCAGCTCATTACTAATCCCTTGAACGTTGAACAGCCGACTTCCCATGTCAACTCGTTCATTCTCTGCCTTATTGCCCCAGTACCGCGTACTCTGTCCCCCTCCCCCCTCCACCCGATGGTGCCCTCCTTTACGACGCTCTTACATTGCCAGAAAATATCACAACTTCAGTCATATCGACTCTTGCCAACTTCACCATCAGTCTAACCACTTTCGCATGTGGGAGGGACTGGTACTCTCCTTTGATGGGCTGCTCTGACTGCCAGCGGGAATATCGAAAATGGCTTTGTGCTGTGAGTTTTCCGAGATGCGGAGAATCAAGCGCCGAAGATCCCAATGGCGTCACCAATACTTCTACGTCGAGTGGTCAACAAACGATTCCATCTGCGCTTGTCCCTCAAACCCCATTCGCTGTTCCGCGCAGCCCATCGTTTCCCGCAATCCCTGGGTCTTATAACTTGCTATTACCTTGTCTCGAGGTTTGTACAGCGGTGGACCGAGCCTGTCCGAATTTTATCCAGTTTCGATGTCCTACCCGCAAGTTCAATGCAGGGGCTAGCTATGGTGTCGGTTATGTTGACGGGGCAGATGGCGAAGAAGGTGGGGGTGCTACAGGTGTTACACAAGACCAATGGGGAAACATCTGGTGCAACGGGGCGTGAAGAAGCCTCAGGTCCGCTCGGGAACCCGGGCCTTGGGGACCTATTTTGAGTTCCGAGTTCATTGCCACCCCCTCACTCAAGCTTCTTACCAACGTTTTCAGTAGCCGACAGTATATATATACATTTCGTCTCTTCTACCCATACCTCCACGACAATCGACCATGTGCCAGGGGTCGCATGGCCTTGATCATACAACTACATAGCCCCTAGTTTGTGTGACTTATAACTGTGTTCTGTGCATATCAGTCGGCATCCCATCGACATGAAGCTTCGTCTTTCTGCAGTGGCGATCTTTTCCCTTCTGTCATCTGCTTCATGTCGGCCACTACCACGCGCATTACCGGAACCAGCTGACGCTGCGACTGCCCGAGCGTACCTTGCCGCTCGTAAGTCGTTTGTCGCTCGGCCACGAAGTTTCCCTTAGGCTGCTCGTGGATAGTAACCGTCGCGGTCGATTTGAACAGTCCTGCATATGATCGCGATTTATTTCCGACTTGGATCACAAGTAAGTTCATATCGACACTGAGATTAGCAATGAACTTTTCGCATCCACAGTTTCGGGAAAGTGTAACACCAGGGAGAGTAAGCCGAATCAGAATCACGACAATACCTTCTGTTGATCAAGTCTTTAGCTGTCTTAATCCGCGAAGGAGTCGACGTAGTCACGGATAGCGAATGTCGGGCAACATCGGGCCAATGGGTGTCTCCTTACGACGGCGTGCCTACAACTCTTGCGAGTGACCTGGATATTGTGAGGTGTATCTCGAATCTATCCTGCTGTATCCTAACGAAGCGGTAAACGTAGGACCATCTTGTTCCTCTCAAAGAGGTATTGACTCGTGAGCCTCTGGTAAAGCTTTGCTAATTTCGAATAGGCATGGGTGTCTGGGGCCCGATCATGGACGACTGCGCAACGGCAAGCCTTTGCGAATGATGTTACTCGGCCGCAGCTCGTCGCAGTCACAGACAAGTAAGTCAACTCGTTTTGCAGTACCACCCCAGTCTTGACAGAGAGCCTAGTTTGAATTCATCCAAAGGTGCGAGTTACAATCCTCTAAATACTTCCTCGTCTTACGGTTGTGCATCATCGCCAGGAGACAAAGGTATGTTCGCGTCTTATGTTTGACCCAGGATATTGATGCCATTCTTTCCACAGATGTTGCTCACTGGATTCCACCTCTGTCGAGCTATGTTTGTACTTACGTCCGCGCGTGGGTCACTGTGAAGTATTACTACTCTTTGACCGTGGATACTGCAGAGAAGGATGCATTGACCAATTATTTAGCGAATTGCTGACCTGTATTTTCCACCTTTCTGGTGTCGTCTATAACATCGTTTTGGATTGCACCATACATATAAATAAATATAGAAGAGGCTACTGGATAGCTTTCGCGTTGGTTGTAAGTATGGCGTTGAGCCCTTCACGTTTAACACAGCTATCAAAGTGGAAACTTTGAGCCAGCTTATCTATCTCGGACTCGTCCAATCCGACGAAATGGTCTGCCCACTCTTTGACCATGAACTCGCTGATGAGGATGTTTCGAGAAAGACGGGATATCCTATCAGCGAGTTTCCAAACAGGATGGGGATAGAGGCTTTGATACTTCTCAGGGATTTCTTGCAAGACATGGTCCACCAGTGGCTTGTAAACTGGACGGACTGCTGTGTCGTC